TTGAGGCTTAATACTATAGAAAAGCACTACAAGTTTTTCAGTTAGAATGTTTTCAGCTTGTTTATTTTCATCTAAAATATGGCATGCTGTTGCTTCAAACAATGGTATAAACATCATTCAGTATAAATTGTGATCATCGTAATTAATAATCGCAATTACAATTTCAAGGGAATAATTGGCAATTATGATTTTTGCCACAATCGTGCAGCCCTAACTGATATAATGATATCATGTATGTATTCTTTATTTAGTTATAACACAAGTTTGAACACACTTCTAATAAAATAATAAAACTGATCAATTAATATATTTATAATTTTTTAATTTATAATGTATTATAATATAATTTAAAATATAATATAATAATAATTGAATTGTATTAATAATTTGTTACTTAATTATTCATGTATATAATTAAATGTATTTTTTATGCATTAATTATTAATTTAATTAAATATAAATACATATAATAATTAATTAATAAATAATATAACTATAATAGTTGGATTATATTAATAATTTATTAGTTTATCATTAATTAATATAATACATTTTTTTATTGTTTTATTTTCATAAATATGTTTGGGGAAATGTATGAGAGTTGTGCTGCTACTCCCCCTTTCAAGTTGGCCCTGCTGATTTGGCAGAAAAAAACCTGTCAAAACCTCTCACAAACATGACTGGAGAGCTGTGTGCAACTGTTTGACTCACTTTTGATGTCTGTTTGCAGTTCTACTCCGTTTTGGACGGCGACGAGGACATGATCTTCATGCATGTGGACAATCCTGGAGGTGCCGTTTCACGCTTTTGAACTTCTTTTTTCTTTCTCCATCCTGTAAGAGGTGTGAAAGAAAAGCATCAGTATTATTTAACAACTCAACCACTGTTGCTGTCAGTTTAACAGTGTGTAGGCTGGACTTGTCAAGCGAGTTCCACTTTGTGTTGACATATCATAGAATGTCTCTGCACAAAATGCTTTTTTTTTCTTTTGGGTCAGTGTGTACGCTATTCATCTTCGAGTCTGAAGGTCTTTGTGCTGCGATGATCACTGGAAACAGATAAGAGTGAGGATGGTGTAGTCTTTCAGTCAGGCCTCCGCTGTCACACTAGCGGAAAGTTACACACAAATACACCCCTCATTGTATTTCCATGTATGTATGACATACAGTCCATGGCTCATGTGAAGAGTTATCTTAATTCCCATAATGCTGTTTACATGTCGATCTGTTTCTCACTGGATGTTCGATTCACATTTTGTCACATGAAGCCGGTTAGATGGGTTTGCTGTGTATGTGTGTGAATAAGGATGGCTTATGGCTGATCTCTTATCTCGTCTGAGAGAAAGCTGTGTCAGCGGAGTGTTTGTATGTGATGTGATCTCACATGCTTACAGAAGACACCTATTTTGGGACAATCTACACCTCTGATGACCGTGGAATCCTGTATTCGAAGTCTCTAGAGCGCCACCTGTTTGGCGGGGAGGGGAAGAGCGATTTCACTAACGTTACATCTTTGAGAGGGGTCTATCTCACCAACATACTGGAGGAGGGTATGAACGTTTGTTTCATGTTGTTTATTTGTCTTAAAGGGTGCCCAAAGGGTTAGTTCACCCAGAATTGGAAATTCTGCGTCAAGGAAGTACGTTTGAGCTTCTGTTTACCATATTTGATGTGCTTTATGCATGTGTGTGAAAACAGCCTAAATTAAATCTGTTATCATATAAAGCGATTGTGTCTCTTCGGGAGATTTGGATTAAACCAATGTATTCATATGAATTTCTTTTACGAATTTTTTGAAGCATCAACGTTTAAGTGGAGTGGAGAGGGACAAACCTCTCAGGTTTCGTTAAAAATTACATTTGTTTTTTTCAAAAATTAATGAAAGTCTTATGGGGTTGAGTAACTGATGACAGAATTTTCATTTTCGGCGGGTGAGCTATCCCTTTAAGTGGCAAATTTCCAATCACACTTGTATTGGTGATGCTTTTATGTCATTGCTAAAAGATGTCAAACTCACTTTGGACCGCAGATGGACGCATTCGTTCAGTCATTTCGTTCGACAGAGGTAGGCGATGGAGATTTCTGAAGAAGCCAGAGAATGTGAATTGTCCAGATAGCTCAACAAAGGTAACCATTGAGGACTGAATTATGAGAAATTACATTTTATTTGTTAAGGGATAGTTCACCCAAAAATAACGACTTTATTCAACAATTCGTCTCCACCGCGTATACTGTTCTGTGTCAGCTGCGTCACGCAGATGCGTTGTTTTCGTTTAAATCAAAGCATAAACAATGTAGAAAACGTATTCGCGTGACGCAGCTGACACAGAACAGCATACGCTGTTTGCGTTCACTGGATACTCTCCAAGATGGTGCTATGGTGACATGGAGGAGACGAATTGTTGAATAAAGTCGTTATTTTTGTTTTCTTTGCGTACAAAAAGTATTCTCGTAGCTTCGTAAAATGACGGTTGAACCCCTGATGTCACATGGATTATTTTACCGATCTCCTTGCTACGTTTCTGGACCTTGATCGTGGTAATTACATTGCTGTCTATGGGAGGGTCAGAGAGCTCTCAGAATTCATCAAAAATATATATTTTTTTTCATCTGTTCTGAAGATGAACGGAGGTCTTACGGGTTTAGAACGACATGAGGGTGAGTAATTAATGACAGAATTAAAATTTTTGGGTGAACTAACCCTTTAAAGTTTCGTTAAGCACTATTTTTTTCCCACTCTGTTGACGTATTTCCTGTTCAAACAGGAAGTTGGGCAATAACATATTGAACATTTTAAAATTGTTGACCTGGTTCTATACATTGGTTATGAGATGTGAGGTTTAATTTTTCATGTCATGCGACTTTAAAGGTTACTGTAAATGTGTGCGTGTGGTTGTTTCCGTTTTCTGTTCCAGTGTAACCTGCATATCCACGGAGAGCACAGTCACTTCAGTGGAATCACTCCCATGCTGCCTCTCTCTGAACCTACCGCCATTGGTCTGGTCATTGCTCATGGTACTAGTCCCTACCACCTATCTCCACAACTTTCACAACTTAACATTCAAACTTGTCTGAATGTTAAATGTTACTGCAGGTAGTGTCGGTGACTCCATTTCAGCCGTCCGGCCGGATGTGTACGTGTCTAGGGACGGAGGTTACACCTGGTGGGGGACTCTGAGAGGACCTCACCACTACACCATCCTGGACTCTGGAGGCCTGATAGTGGCTGTGGAGGCGCATAGAGACAGACAGATCAGCTCAATAAAGTAACACACTATCACTTGCCCTGCAGTTATATTACACGTTGTTCTTGTTCTGAAAGAAAAAATGTGTAATATGTAGTCACTGTCATATATGACTGTGTATCTGAATGTTTTCAGGTTTTCCACAGATGAAGGACAGTGCTGGAAAATATTTAATTTCACCGACCACCCCATCTTCTTGGCCGGACTGGCATCCGAGCCGGGCACTAAGACAATGAATATCAGCATTTTCGGCTACCGCCCAGATGATGATGATCAGCCCATGTGGGTGGCTGTCACCATAGACTTTGAGCACCTGCTCACCAGAGAATGTAAGAAACATTTCAAGAATTATGGGCAGATTTTAAATACTGTAATAAGTATTATACTACATCATCAAAGCTTTGATACAAATTGTAGTGGCGACGAAAGCCGACTGTGGTGTTGCCTCATGACGCCTGCGTCTGAACCAAAAATTTGCACTTTAACACACCGCAAAGACTACAGCCAATGGGCAACTAGCACATACATTCTGAACTTGCGTGAGAGGAAATAAATCTCTCCATACCAGCTTTCGTCAATTCCATTTTACTTGCTTGCACTAGTTCACTAAGCTGAATAGCTAATCGGAGTGATCTCTCTTACCAACCAGCCCATCAGCTTCATGTCACTGCCTTACGAATTAAAAAGTTCCTTTGTAAAAACTACAGTTTTACAATCTCTTGGTGTTCCTAGGTGATGAACAGGACTATGTGCAGTGGTTGGCGCACTCTGACTATGACTCTGACCCAGAAACAGATGGATGCCTCTTGGGCTACAAAGAAACATTTAGAAGACTGAAGAAACTGTCAGCATGTAGAAATGGGAGAGGATATATGGTCAGCAGGCAGCAGCACTCATGTCCTTGCACTAGAGATGACTACATGTGGTAGGAAAAATTGCACCACACTGAGGTTTGGACTTCTGCTTGTGGCCAAACGAAAGTGTTTTCTGAACATCTCTCCTGTCAACAGTGAGTATGGTTTCTATCTGCATGAAAACACCTCGGAGTGTCTCCTACAAGCCGACTTCTTGAATCAAACCCAGGATATTTGCTTAAATGGGGAGCTAGATGACCTTCAGCATACAGGGTGATGGTGAAATATATCTTTATTTTCCATATAAAAAAAAATTAAAACACACACACATAAATTTAATTGCTATAATTATAACACTGTGTTAAACAGGTATCGTAAGATTCCTGGTGATAAATGTGAGGGGGGTTTCAGCCCTCCGAAAAGAGAAGACTCTTTCAAAAATCTTTGTGGGAAGGACATTTTACCAGCCTCCTCAAATTTGCATACTGTGAGATCAGTGAGTGGCCCATTTGTCAAGAAAATAATTATTCACTATACAGTGGCCAAAAAACATGAAGTAAAATCACTTATCATGTATGATACAATATAAAGGGCATAAGTACTTTTTTAAAAGAGCTTTAAAAGAATACATATAGAAAAACATGGTTGATGAACTGAATAAATACATTTATTGTCTTTCTATTGCAGCTGGGCATGCTGGTTCTTGTTGTGGTGTGTACTTGTGTGGGGGTCATTGGTTTGGGTATTACTGCAGCTTTAATAATCACCTCAAGGAGAATAAACTGTAGGCATAGGTAATGTCACGTGATAAAACCTGATTGGCCTCTGTTGGATATTATATCCATTTGAAGCCACATTCAGTATCTCTCACACAAGATATACAGTACATTGCAGAAGTCAGATTCTCTATTGGTCAAATTCTGCCCCCTGCAGGTCACATGCTTATCGCTTTTCTGCTCTGCAACTCCAAGATGATGATCTGTGTGTTAGCAAAGACAGCAGCCCCAATGGCAAACTAAATGGTTTCCAAGTCCAGGAGGATTCCGATGAAGTGAGCTTGATGAATCAATCAATATTATCCTTGCCTGTATCGACTGAATTTGGCTGTATTTATTTATTTATAGTTGATTATGTATTTTAGCATTTGCTTGCCTTGCTGATTTTTTTATTTCTTCTTTAGGATCTCATTGAGTGAACAACATTTAAACTCTTGGAACTACTCGGGCTTTGCAGACAAGTTTTTCAAATGAATCTCACACCCAGGCACTGTAACTGGATAATAAACGCTTGGAAATAATGGTGAACTACATTTTTCAAACCGAGGCAAATGATATCAGGTTCCTATTTTGTCCTATGAAGTGTCTTATACAGGGACCAGAGGATAATCATTACGAGTGAATTTATTTTCACCCTCTCTGTCTTTTGCACTGGAATCATTCATATTCCCACCGGCTGCTGCTGGCAATCCTCCTTGAGATTTGGGACTATGCAATTTCAAATAGACCAATCTACTGTTTTTGAATTGTAAATAAATTAAAATGCATTTAAACATCATTATTTATGCTCATCCTATCATCCACATTTTAATTATTGTGTTACCCATAATACACCATAATAAATATATTGTTTAGTATATAATTATTACAAAAAAATGATAAAGATTTTCTTAATAAAAAATGCTCTATATAGGCTATATATA